CTTCTTCTTCTTCTTCTTCTTCTTCTTCTTCTTCTTCTTCTTCTTCTTCTTCTTCTTCTTCTTCTTCTTCTTCTTCTTCTTCTTCTCTTCTTCTTCTTCTTCTTCTTTCTTCTTCTTCTTCTTTCTTCTTCTTCTTTCTTCTTCTTCTTCTTCTTCTTCTTCTTCTTCTTCTTCTTCTTCTTCTTCTTCTTCTTCTTCTTCTTCTTCTTCTTCTTCTTCTTCTTCTTCTTCTTCTTCTTCTTCTTTCTTCTTCTTCTTCTTCTTCTTCTTCTTCTTCTTCTTCTTCTTCTTCTTCTTCTTCTTCTTCTTCTTCTTCTTCTTCTTCTTCTTCTTCTTCTCTTCTTCTTCTTCTTCTTCTTCTTCTTCTTCTTCTTCTTTCTTCTTCTTCTTCTTCTTCTTCTTCTTCTTCTTCTTCTTCTTCTTCTTCTTCTTCTTCTTCTTCTTCTTCTTCTTCTTCTTCTTCTTCTTCTTCTTCTTCTTCTTCTTCTCTTCTTCTTCTTCTTCTTCTTCTTCTTCTTCTTCTTCTTCTTCTTCTTCTTCTTCTTCTTCTTCTTCTTCTTCTTCTTCTTCTTCTTCTTCTCTTCTTCTTCTTCTTCTTCTTCTTCTTCTTCTTCTTCTTCTTCTTCTTTCTTCTTCTTCTTCTTCTTCTTCTTCTTCTTCTTCTTCTTCTTCTTCTTCTTCTCTTCTTCTTCTTCTTCTTCTTCTTCTTCTTCTTCTTCTTCTTCTTCTTCTTCTTCTTCTTCTTCTTCTTCTTCTTCTTCTTCTTCTTCTTCTTCTTCTTCTTCTTCTTCTTCTTCTTCTTCTTCTTCTTTTCTTCTTCTTCTTCTCTTCTTCTTCTTCTTCTTCTTCTTCTTCTTCTTCTTCTTCTTCTTCTTCTTCTTCTTCTCTTCTTCTTCTTCTTCTTCTTCTTCTTCTTCTTCTTCTTCTTCTTCTTCTTCTTCTTCTTCTTTCTTCTTCTTCTTCTTCTTCTTCTTCTTCTTCTTCTTCTTCTTCTTCTTCTTCTTCTTCTTCTTCTTCTTCTTCTTCTTCTTCTTCTTCTTTCTTCTTCTTCTTCTTCTTCTTCTTCTTCTTCTTCTTCTTCTTCTTTCTTCTTCTTCTTCTTCTTCTTCTTCTTCTTCTTCTTCTTCTTCTTCTTCTTCTTCTTCTTCTTCTTCTTCTTCTTCTTCTTCTTCTTCTTCTTCCTTTCTTCTTCTTCTTCTTCTTCTATTCTTCTGCTGCTGCTGCTGCTGCTGCTGCTGCTGCTGCTGCTGCTGCTGCTGCTGCTGCTGCTGCTGCTGCTGCTGCTGCTGCTGCTGCTGCTGCTGCTGCTGCTGCTGCTGCTGCTGCTGCTGCTGCTGCTGCTGCTGCTGCTGCTGCTGCTGCTGCTGCTGCTGCTGCTGCTGCTGCTGCTGCTGCTGCTGCTGCTGCTGCTGCTGCTGCTGCTGCTGCTGCTGCTGCTGCTGCTGCTGCTGCTGCTGCTGCTGCTGCTGCTGCTGCTTCTTCTTTTTCTTTTTCTTCTTCTTCTTCTTCTTCTTCTTTTCCCCCTGCTCCCTTTAAGATTTGTAGTGTAATTTACAGTTAAGTTACTATAGTTATACCTTTCGGCCCAGCACATTCGACGTCAGCAACACACTAGTTAACTGAATTTTATGATAAGTTTTGTTAGGAAGAAGTCGGTTTATGTTTCCCCTCCGCTGCACCTCCCCCCCCCCCTTTCCCCCCTTTTCAACTCCACACCACGTAATGAGAACCAGGACTCATAGATATCAACATTATAAACTTAAAATGTTTACATCTGTGCTTTTAAAAACCATTTCAACATGTCTAATCCCAGCATTATTATTGTTTATAGTACTTAATTACCTGAAACCTCGTTAAATGAGTTTTATGCAAAACGTGTATTTACGATATTTCGTGTTTTATCTTAATTGTCGGTGTCAATGGCTAAAGAGTTGAGAACGTGCTTTATAATGAAGGGTAAGGGTTCAAGTCCTGCTGCAGACGATTTGTCTTGCGCTGGTTTCGACAGTTGTACCGAGATCTGACCGTTCAGTAAGTACTGATAAACTCCTGAACGGAAAATTTGCCTAGAAAGACTACAACAGCCAATAAATGCTAGGGTTGGTTCTGCAACGTCCTGTAAAGGGACGCAACTAACTTTTATCTTAATTAGTGATATGCTGCCTTAATTGCCCCTTGCACGCTTTTTTTTTTTAACCTACAAGTTATGCTTGTTGCTTTTATCCTATTATACTCCTTTCAAGAGACTGTTTGTTCACAAATCGTATAATGCGGCGTACAAGTTGACCTTGAATACAAGTCAACCTCAAGATGCTTAGTTCAGAATTCTAAGTTAGGTCTAAATCTTCCTAACGCATTGTGTGTCTGTCAAGCAAGTCGATCACTGGGGTTTAAAGATATTTTAGGTTTAAAGACTCTACTTTTACGCCACAATATACGGTCAGTCCCCTGCATGTATTCTTCGCTCGATGTTTTATGTGTTCTACGTGCACCGTTCAAGTCCCCTGTGTGTGTATTTTAACACGTTAAATGTCATGCACCTTACTTTTCTTTCATTAATTAGTCCTAAGACAGTTTTCATTTCCGGACAGTTTTATCGTAGGTGGTTGTTATAAGTATAAAAGTAAAGTAGTAAAGATCTTTTTTCCACGCCTTTAGGCGTATAGGGCATATAGGGTTATAACTATATTTTTTTATATCCATCGGCACAAGATGGGTGATAGGGTCAGCATCACGCCGGCCGCCTTTACTTCCTTGGACTGTACCCGGTACCCACTCAAGGATGGGTCGACCTGGTAGTCAAGGTCATTTTTGAAAAAAGTCCGGCTCCGCCAGGGAGCGAACCTACAACCTTCCAATCCGGGCGCTAGCGTCTAGCCTCAACACCACGGCAACTCCCAGGAAGTTGTTATAATAACTCATTAATGTGAATTATTTGTTTTACTTCTTTTCTTCGCAAGCTTCTTCCTAAGCTTTTACCCTGCACCCATGTGGTTGTTATGGATCGACTTGGGTGCCAAGAACATTTTTAAGGGGGAAAAAAAGCAGCACCGTCCGGATTTAAACCCACGACCTTCGCATCCACAGGCGAGCGTCTAGTCGCTATACCACAGCGTCCCTCGCGAGAGAGTCCTGAAGCACTAATAGACCACCACGATCTGGAGAGACTGATGCAGCGGGCAGTGGCCAGGAGATCCGGTTGATACTCAGTACTCATAGGAAACGCAAGACGGATGTTAACACCTTAATTCAAAATCTATGATAGCTGCTGAAGATGTGAATAGAGCGCTTATCTCATTGCCCTAAGTGTTATGATGGCTGTTGTTAACCAAACTCAACTCAACAATGAACGTTACTTTGACCTTTCCCATTTTCCTTTGGCATTTCTACTTCACATCTATATTTATGTGTTAATAACTTCTCCGGGTAAGAAAAATATAATTTTTCTTCGTTCACTGTAATTTTCACAATTATCTTGGCATTTGTGTTGTTGATAATGGTAGGTTTTGTTACCTCTGAATACATGTCTAGAACTTTTAATTGCTTAGTTTGTGTCAAATTTTGTTCATTCTTTTGGAGCAGCCCCTGTTTTTACCTTTACCCACATAAGGTTTATCTGTGTACCTGCAGAATTAATTGATTCAACTATATTTCTAACACTGGTCTTTTTTCCATCTATGTTGAAATATTTTTCTTGTATAGATTGTTTAAATATGGGTATGAACCACATCATTGGTTCACATCTGTCTAACAAAAATGTACTTTAAAAGTGATAGGTTCATTCCTCTGAGATTGAATATATACATATCTATGTATGTGCATATATATATATATATATATATATATATATATATATATATATATATATATATATATATATATATATATATATATATATATATATATATATAAAATATATATATATATATATATATATATATATATATTACTCGCTCTATATGTGTGTGTATATATATATATGTATATTCATATATATATATATATATATATATATATATATATATATATATATATATATATATATATATATATATATATATATGTATATATTACTATATATATATATTACTATATATATATATATATATATATATATATATATATATATATATATATATATGCCCGGCGAGCTAGCTAACTTGGTTAAACTAGCTGCGCGGCGACCGGGTAACAAACTTATTATGGTCCGAGTTCACGTTCAAGGGTAGGCAGAAAAGCCACAGATTTCCCAGATTTATGTTATCTATCATGGAATCGAGCCCGAAAGGTTGCGCAATCTAAAGCTGGCAGATCACAACTCACATCCGTATGTTGCTACAGGGAAGATGCATGCTCTCCAGATTTTAACTGTGATTCCCTCGCTGTATGGCCACCCTCCTTTTTGATTTCTGACCTTCCCAAAGAGCCTAGATATTCAGTGTGACGTTTTCAATTTCTTCATAATTTATTGTTTTTTTTTTTTCCTGGGTAACAGTCACTTTTGTCTGTGCACATCGTGTTTTTTTTTTTCCCCCTTCAAACTTAAGAACATGTTTTGGTCTTCACTGCGTTGAATACATATATATAATATATGTATATTTTTTTAATTTTTGTTTTGTTGGAAATTGTGTGAGTGTGTGAGTATCTGTGTGTGTGTGTGTGTGAGTATGTGTGTGTGTGTGTGTGTGTGTGTGTGTGTGTGTGTGTGTGTGTGTGTTTGTGGCCAGTGAGATGTAAGTGTATGTTTGTGTGTTGTTTCTTTTGAGATTTTTTTTAATAACAGTTTAGTTTCGAGCCTATTTAAAAAAACATTTTTACTTTACTTTTTTTTTTCTTTTAGTTTTTTTTTTTTTTTTTTTAATTCTTCATTCGTTTTATGTAAAGTATTTTTATTTAAACAGGTCTACACAGTAATAAATTAGTTAGTCTAAGATGTAGCAGGGGAACCAAGAAAGTAAATAATCACTTCAAAAATATATATATATGTATATCCCTATTACATGTTTCTGCCCCAAGCAACGCAACGTGCATGTCCAGCTTATGTGTATGCATACCAACGCAACGTGTATGTACAGCTTATGTGTATGCATACCAACGCAACACATGATGTGTTAATATTTATTTCATGTTTGGCCTAGGTATGCATTAAAAGAAAAAGATCTGGCTAAATATTCTAATGCAGTACAGTATATGCAGTATCTTTGAAAGACGTATACAGCTGCCCTTTTAATTGTGATTTTTGTGCCAAGTTGGGTTTCCGTTTTGAAACCATCTTGGTAAAGAGTTAAAGCTCGATATTCTGTAGCTCCAGCGGCGACCCCTAACACACCAACATTGTGAAAACAGAAGCCCACAGGCACAGACAAAAAACGAAAATGCAGAGCCACAATAGCTGCTGTCTTCTTCTGTCTCTTCTTCCTCTTCTTCTTTTCTTTTTTCTTGACCTCCTGCTATCTCTCCTTCTTCGCTCCTCCTCTTTCTCTTTCAGCACTATATATTAACTTTATTTCCTTTTTTTTCTTCTTCTTCAATATTTCTGTTGGTTATCTTTTGTTTTATTCCATGCCCCCCCCCCACCCTTTTCCCCCTCCTCTTCCTCCACCGTGCACCCCATACACTTCATGGGATGGGTGCTGTCATCAACTCAGAGAAGAAAGCAGTTTTGTCGTGCTCTCTGGACAATAGAATTGTAAGAGCTAATGTTCCGATCTTCACAGTTGATAACAGTAACATCAAAAGAGAAAGCAAACTGAGCTACCTGGGTATCATTTTCGATAGAAGTCTGTCCTTCGGGAAGATGCGGTTGTGGTGAAATGCCAAAAAGGACTCAATGATGTCAATTATGACAGCAATGGACATGGAACAAAGAATGCTGTTCATAATGTTCCAGCATGTGATTTTGGCTTGGATAGATTACGGACTTGGAATGCTTACCATATCAAAGAGTCAGCTATATAAAACTCGAACGCATACAGAATGAAGCTAAGAGGGCAATTCCGGAATGTACAAGAGATACCCCGGTAGTATGTATGCGATATGTACTTTCATTGCCTACTATTGTAGATAAACTCAAAGTTCTGCAAGAAAAGTCCTATCTCAGAGTAGCTACAGACAAGACGCACCTCCTGCATGAAGCCCTAGGTAGAGCTAAGGGTCACAGACTGAAAAGAGGAAGGTCTTGGATGGCGCTGGCTGAAGACACAATTAGACATGTGTGCAGGCTTGATAAACTTGGGCGAGGAGAGAAGTGGGTGAAAGTGTCCAAGCAAAAATCAGATTTTTGTAGCGTTCTAATCACTTTAGGTCGTGAGTGCAGGGACTCGTCAGCTGGTGCTTCAGAATGAGAAGTTCAACAAATGATTTCTGACAATTACCACCCAGTTGATGTGATTATCTCTACAGATGGCTCTGAGATGGAAGGTAGACAAAGTGAATAGGAGCTCATAGCAAAAGCGAATGGACTTCGCGTATTGCAGCAAAGCCTAGCATATGATATTACAACGTCTAGTTTGAGAACTGAGATAGAGGCAGTCACAGCTGACTTGAGAATCAGCTGTACACACATGTCGTGATTGTAGATGACTCACAGAGCATGTTGAGAAAGGTGGAGATAGGCATGCTCCGTGCAGAGTGGCAAGCATCGCTTTAGAGGTCCCAGGTAGTTAGCGTACGTTTGATATTTTTTCTAGGCCATGCCGGTGTGTTGGGAAACGAGCAGATAGAATGACCTGTTCTGCACCACTTGGTGGTGAATTGTTGTATGACAAGCTAAATGTCGAGAGGGCTCTTCGGAAGCCAGTAAACAGTGCAGAGGCATAAACAAATCATTACGGTCTGATGAGAAATGCGATGCGAAGACTTACCAGGAAGTCTGGCCGACACATATACATACAATTACTGGTACCGTCGCAATTGGAACTCTTCGCTTGCTGCTGGGGATAGGGACAGAGCGCTTATGGGAGTGTCTCGGGTGCTGTAATGTCGATTCTTAATTCTACATTCAACATTCAACATTCTTTATGAATTTGTCAGGGGGCAGTTGTATCTAACAATTTTTACCTAGCATATAAAGCACAGGTAAATACTTATCTCAATCTTCATATTTTTTCGGGCAAGAATTCAAAAGAGGATGTCTAGCCGAGCGGTGAACTGTCCGTTAGGAAGCTGAGTTCGAATCCTCAGTAAGCTGATAGATAGTTTCTTTTTTTTTTTTTTTTTTTTCGGAGCCCGAAACAAAAATATATAAAGTGCATAGTTCATTTTGACTGCACTATCCATTGGCCATAAACTCTTAGGTTCAAGAAGTGTCCCCCGTCCAATGTTTGGGTAAAAAAAGGACATATCCGGGCTTTATGGGGTGTTTATTATGAAATTAGGAAAGGCGTTGTTCTTCAAAACACATGGATGTTCTTCTTCTTCTTCTTCTCTTCCACCTTGTACCTCATCGAAGTGTCGGGGGGGGGGGGTGGGTGTAATGTTCGTTGATGAGCTCTGTCAAGAGCACTATTAAGACTGATGTTCATTTCTGTAAGGCTGTTCTTAATGCCATCACTCCATATTTTCCGAGATCTTCCACTCGCTCTATACCCGTTGTAACGTTTTAGCGTGGCTTGCTATGGCAGATAGTACCAGGGCATTCTTGTTAGGTGTCTAGACCACTTCATTTGTTGTTCTTTGATGACCTGTAAGACTGGCTTTATTCCTAGTCTGATTTCCTGAATTCGTGTTCTGTCTTTCCTTGAAACTCCTGCAGCTCTTCTAAGGCATTTCATCTCTGTTGTCATTGATGTTTAAATCATTAATTTGCTGTACACAAAGAGAGAATAGACAGACAAAAAGGCATTCGCACAAAACCTCTTTAACATTAAGAATAATTCCACAAGCGAGTATGCACTGTAGGGGTCCACTGATCATCAGTAGAAAGATCCCTCGTCGACAATTCTTTTGTTTAAGTTACAAAATAATCCTCATCAGTGTCTAAGCTAGTAAAATATATTTTTTCCTGTTTTATCCTTATGGGTTTTCCTAACTGTAACATTTTTATTTAAAGTACAGTGTTGGAATTATGCAGGGACGGTCCTTTGCAATGCAGATCTGGTCTGGGGGGAGGGGAGTAAAAGACTTGATTAAGTCGATGATGTCGTCTGCACGTAATTATCATCTAACTTCTGGCTGTTTTCTGTCCTCAGATCATCGCTGTGGTCTCCGTGTTTTTTATCGTCATATCTATCCTGTCGTTCTGCTTGAAGACACACCCCGAAATGAGGGTACCCGTTCTTAAGAACGCCACATCGCTAACAGCCAACGGAAGCTTCACATGGCGACTAGAGAAGAGAGAGACTGAGCCCCATGAATCGTTCTTCTACATCGAGTGCGCCAGCAACGCCTGGTTCACATTTGAAATCATCATCCGCTTCGCTGTGGCACCAAACAAACTGGATTTTCTTAAAGCGCCTGTAAATATAATAGACATCGTTGCTACGCTGAGTTTCTACTTGGATTTTATGCTAACCGAGCTGAAACAAGAGAGCGATATGCTGGAGTTTTTCTCCATTATAAGAATCATGAGGCTGTGTAAGTTGACTCGGCATTCGGCTGGCTTAAAGATTCTCATACACACTTTTAAAGCTAGTGCAAAGGAGTTGATTCTGCTCATCTTCTTCCTAGTCCTTGGCATTGTGATCTTTGCTGCTCTCATTTATTACGCTGAGAGAATACAATACAATCCAGATAACGACTTCGAAAGCATACCGGTTGGCCTATGGTGGGCCATCGTCACAATGACAACAGTAGGGTATGGTGATATGGTGCCTAAGACTTATGTAGGGATGTTCGTGGGGGCGCTGTGTGCTCTCGCAGGTGTCCTGTGCATTGCGTTACCTGTTCCAGTCATTGTGTCCAACTTTGCGCTGTTCTACTCTCACACGCAAGCCAGGTCCAAACTACCTAAGAAGAGGCGGCGCGTGTTACCAGTGGAGGCGCCACGGCCAAAGGGATCCAAAGCCCCAGGAATGGCCGGAGCCGTACAAGGCGTAGGAGGACCACAGAACCGAAGGATGAACGCCATCAAACACAACCATCCAGGTGCTTTAGATGTCAAGATAAATAGGATAGGTAATTGCACGTTTACCTGTTCAGACCGTGTGTTTTGTACTAGATTCGTACATTGTTTCTAACATTTAGATCAATCATTACCTTTTATAGTTTTATGAATTTAAGGTAGCTCTTTTAACTGCATTTGAACTTGATCTGTTTTAGTAACTACTTACAATTACTGAAGATTGTGTGAATGTTTATTGTGAAGTTACAAGTTTGCTTTCTTTTCTAACATTGTTGTTGTGCATTTTCGTTGTCAGTGCTGATCTTTATGTCTTAGACGGTCTTGTGCCCATGTGTCTTAGATGTGCCAAGGTCGTTACGTTTTGTCTTAGAAACCGCCTTTGACGTTGTGGGTCACTGTCCATCTTGGCCGAGGCGTGTCATGACATAGATCGTCATTGACAAATTGGTTTAAATGCCAATGACCGGCTGGGAGAGTGGGGTTTATTGTCTGCCACTTGTAATGACTGTTTGGTTTCGTCAGAAACTGTCTATGGGCGCTTAGTTCAATGTCATATACTGTCTGGGTCTACTTCGGTCCTGTAGATAAATGTCATAGACCGTCTATGTTTGTGTGATTTTATGTCGCAATTAGGCTGTGGCTGTGTCGATTATGTCATAGACAGACTATGGCCCGTGTTTTCATGTCTTAAACCGTCTTTGGTTGTGTGGTTTTATGCCATAGACTGTCTGTGTGGATGTGTGGTTTCACGTCATAGACAGTTTGTGGTTGTACGGTTTTATGCACAACAGTCTGTGTGACTGTTTGGTTTCATATCATAGACGATCTATCGATCTATGATTGTGTGGCTTCATGTCATAGACAGTCTATGGTTGTGTGGTTTTATGCCATAGAAGGTCTGTGTGGCTGTGTGGTTTTATGCCATAGAAGGTCTGTGTGGCTGTGTGGTTTCGTCCCATAGACAGTCTATGGTTGTGTGGTTTTGTGCCACAGACAGTATGTGTGGCTCTATTTGTTCATGTCATAGACAGTCTGTAGTTGTATGGTTTTCTGCCATAGACGTTATGTGTGGCTGTGTGGTTTCATATCATAGACCGTCTATGGCAGTGTATTTTTCTGGCGTAGACTGTTTATATGTCTGTGGATTTATATCGTAGACACTTTACTGTCTCTGTTACCGCGTCGTTTCTTATCATGAACTGTGTACCACCATATGATTATTGGTTATAAAACATACCTTCACGAGTACTTTCATATCATTGACGGTCAGTAATAACAAAGTTCTTGTGTCATAGACTATGTCTAGGTCCGTTTGCCCAAGACTGTCTGTCATCAAGAATGATAATTGTTGTAATAACCGCATACCTGAACGTACAATGTGTTCAGTGTCCGTGTCATTCAAATGTGCCCTGACTGTTCTTGTGCCCGTGGTATTTTGCTGTGATTTTTTCAACTCTTTATGCTTTTCATGCATTGACAATTCGTACATTGTTGTTGAACATAGGCTTGATCAAGTCAGACTGGTGTTGTGTGTGCTCCTTTGATCTCCTTATAGTATTTACATTCCCTCAAATGCGACTGTCTTATCCCAGTTACATGTTTTGCTATCCATTTAAGGATGTTTATTAATTCTTTAATATCTTTCTTTCTGTGGTACTTTCTGTAAATGTCTTCTGCGTAATGAGAATGATGATAGGTTATGTTTCAAGTCACTGTACAGTGGTCATTCACAGAAGCCATTTAAAAGAAGGGCGCTTTAATAATATCTTCTCCAAACAGGGAAAATCAACAGGTAACGGGACAATGATAACGACGCAATTTTTTTTTTTTTTGTAGGTGTTTGATTCTGATTTACACTTATATTACTGCCCCTAGGGGGCTGCGTGGTCTCGAGGCATAGTGTCTGCCTCGAATGCTAGAGGTTTCGGGTTCAATCCCCGGTAAGAGCTGGGATTTTTTCAAGTGGAGTTGAATTTCTAGTAATTTCCCCTGGTCTCTGGGTAGTAGGATCGAACGCCCGTGTGCATTGTTGCCCACGTTAAAAAAAAAAAAAAAAAAAACTCTTGGAAGTTGAAAATCGAAAAGAGTAGCCAAACGCGCTGCCACGGGCAAAAATTTTGAATTAAAAATCTATACAAACTATCTCAGGATCCTCGCAGGTGCTACAGTGCATGTGCACTGTGCTGAGCTTCTTCGGACTCAAGACTTGAGTTAGAAGAAGAACGGAGCACTTATGGGTTACTACCCGTGTGCCATGATGTTGATCCGTTGTTCAGACCTCAAATCATTAACTGCTCCTGGTATCCAAATAATTCAGTAACATGGTAAAAACGACGCTTTCTGATGTAATGGATTGACCCTGCAAGCGTTCTTGACCAGTGGCTCTCAACCTTACTAGAGCGGCGACCCTTAAATGCAGTTCCTCATTTTGTAGGGCCCCTCATTCATACAGTTATTTTCGTTGCTGCTTTATAACTTCAGTGAATATGTTTTTGCGACCGTCTTTGTCGGCCACTGTGAAAGGATTGTTTGACCCACAAAAAGGTCGTGACCCACGAGTGGAGAACCACTATTCCAGACAATCTAATTTTATTTGGGGGGGGGGGGGGAAGCAGATGGCAGCTTTGGTTCTAATTTTGGTCTGGTTTCATTGTGCAACGTTAAATGGGTAAGCTGTATTATTTGTGCAAGCGTTTAATGGCTTGAACAGATTTATGCAATTATAAACGGCTAAGTGTCCCTACTAGTGTGTCGTGCTGTCCGTCTTTGAATGTCTGCAGGTCGAGGTTTTTTTTCCCCCAGTTCTTTGATTTGAGTAGATGTCATTGTTTGTTCGTCCCACCTCCTAATTTAGGTTGTGATTTTGATATGCGTGAAGGAATTGTTATCTTGTGTTCTAGTTTCCTTTTCTTCTTGGCGTTCACTAGCTGTAAACTCTGGCGGAAAGTTCGGGGTGTTCATCCACTTCTGGACTGCAGTACTGTTCCAGAACCTGAGTGTTACGTGTGCATCCGTTTTACAGAGATGACTAATTTGTATGCAGACTGCTGGTTATTTGCCCTTCAGGCAGACGCACTCCGATTTTGAAGGAAGCTCCCAACTAGTCGACTCTTACGACATGCTATTGGGTAGGCAGTGAGTCTGTTCTTGTTTTCCCTATAATAGGGCCCCGGAACCCACACACACAGTTTCGTCCTTTTCAGGACGAAATTTTTTGTTATTTGAAGCCCCACCCTGGCTTTTGTCAGGGGCCGCAATATAGGCAGGCCATAAATATGGCCAATTGTCTGAACGCGGTTTCTGGGACCTCTCCACGGCGATCCTCATCCGCATGGTGGCACTTTGTGTCATCGGGTGTTTATCGCTTGTGTGATGTCCTGGTGGGGTAGAAAGTCAGTCAGTCAGTCACACGGGGACTGTTCTAGTGTAACATATCTGTTGCTAATGTATTGGGTACTGTCTTTCTATCTTTTATTTTAAATTATTATTACTATTATTAGTATTATTATTATTATATTTGTTTATATTGTATTACTGCCCTAGTAACAGTTCTTCGTGGCTTCTTCATGTTGTCCTGTTTTGGAGTCCTGTGCTGGAACGCTCTTTTTCCGGTTCTGTGATGACTGCAGATTTCTAGACCATCATTATTAAGATTTGTTTTTTGTTTTTTTTTTCAACTTATTTTTACCTGCTGACGGTGCACTGAGCATATAGGACTAGACCTATATTTGTTGACCAGTCGGCACTCGGGGTAGATGTTAGAAACTTCTGTCTATTATAGCGTTGTTTTTTACAGATGACACGTACCATTAGTTCGATGTCTCTGTTTGGTTTCCACTCTTGATTGATTGTCGCTATATGTTTGGCAACCATTTTTCGGAGGACTGCAGGGAAGTTAACTGCTTTAAACTGTATAGTTTTAGAAACAAGTTACGTATTTACAGTTTTAATGCAGGCGTTCTCAAACTTTCTAATGCCGTGACCCTTGAATACAGTTCCCTCATGTTGTGGCGACCCTTGAATACATTTCCCTCATGTTGTGGCGACCCTTGAATACATTTCCCTCATGTTGTGGCGACCCTTGAATACATTTCCCTCATGTTGTGGCGACCCTTGAATACATTTCCCTCATGTTGTGGCGACCCTTGAATACATTTCCCTCATGTTGTGGCGACCCTTGAATACAGTTCCCTCATGTTGTGGCGACTCTTGAATACAGTTCCCTCACAATGTGGCGACCCTTGAATACAGTTCCCTCATAATGTGGCGACCAGCAAACAATTATTTTTCTGCATAACTTCAATGAATATATGTTTTCTTAGGCGAATCCCGGGAAAGGGTCGTTCGACCCCCAAAAAAGGGTCAGGACCCGCAGTTTGAGAACCGCTGGTTTATTGTTGTAAGATTTTAAATATATGCCAGTGAAAGTTGAAGAACCACTACAGATGTGGAATGACAATTTTACTTATTCGAAAACAAACACCTGAGGCTGACTGACTGACTTTCTACTCCACCAGGACATCACACAAGCGATAAACACCCGATGACACAAAGTGCCACCATGTGGATGAGGATTGCCGTGGAGAGGTCCCAGAAACCGTGTTCAGACAATTGGCCATATTTATGGCCTGCCTATATTGCAGCCCCCGGCAAAAGCCAGGGTGGGGCTTCAAATAACAAAAAATGTCGTCCTAAAAAGGACGAAACACCTAAGCAACCTGTGCTAGGTAAGTACTTAACACCTGAGGAAAACGAAGAACCTTAAACGGGATGAATTCAAAAGCAGTAAAGAAAGAAGAGAAGTGTCTTGTATCAACAGTTATAAGAAAGAGAAAATGGTGCTTTCCTACAAATATTCTGAGAAGAGACGAAATGGGAAGTACCAGACAGGCACAAAAATGGGAAATAGATGAACTGAGGAAACTAGGACGTCCAAGACAAACACCAGGACAAACGATGAAAGAGAGGAGAGGAGAGCAGGAAAAAGATGGCGGAGCTGAAAGAAGCCCGCGAAAATACACACAGAGAAGTCGCCTTGCTAATGCAAGCGAAA